CGAATTGTGCCAAAGCATGTGTAAACGCTGCATTTGCATATTCATTGACAAAAACGCCCAAACTGGATGAGAGCTATTTTGCACATTTGAATGCCATAGTCCTCAGTGCACACGGTTAGTAAATTGGCCTGTACATTTATTTGAGTTTGCCTCCTGTATTATGAGGTTTGCACACTACACGCAACACTTTAGTATATCTGGCCCAAACACTTTCTCCAAAAGTCCCTGGCCCGGACCCTGTTTCTTTCCGATTGTGGCCTGCAAGTCAAAAAGTTTGACCAGCCCTGCCTGAGACTTGCGCTGGACAAGAAAATACCGCTCAGAATGTCAAATACTCTATCAACTGTTTAGTTTCCAGTTTTCTCAGGAGCCTATTTACAGAATTGTTGTGAATTAACTCCAGTGGGTTGAGTTTTTTTTTTTTTTTTAAGAAATCACAGAGACAAATAAGATAACATTACATGAAAGTGCTCTATAGTATAAGGCTGGTGTTAGACTGTCTTGTAAGCCAGTCAAGAGTAATTTTGACAAAAGTGTTGCAGAATCTCCAGCACCCTTCATTGAGATCTTCTCCAGCTCTGTGCATTAACTACAGACCAATGAGCCTATAAAGCAATGCGAGATTTACTGGCCTGACGCCTTGTTTGTAAAAGATGCTTGTGAGTATATTGGGCTCTGGGAACAGTTCAGAGTGGAAGGCCTCAGTATAAAAGCACTGAAAGCACCAAAATGGGAAAAGTGAACGCTGGCAGGTTCAAGTCTTTTACCTGAGCAGTTAGTTGCTATTATTTTTATTAACATTCATTTTCCACAGTCTGCAATCCTATAGATGATTTTTTTTTTGGTGGGGGCGGAGCCAGCTCACAATCATGCTGGTAAGAATGGGATGCTTTGTTTTCACTCAGGGCTCCTCCTCCACCTCAATCTCTGCCAAACACCAACTACTGGTTAACAAAACATCAGGATGTAGTCGCTGTGCAACATTTTGCAAACCCTCTCACATTTTTTGTCAGCGCCATGAACTCTAATCACTCCTCTACATTTGCTAATATCTTTTTCATAACCACAAAAGATGAATCCGAGATAGTCATAATGCTGTGCAAATAAGCAGGCACGTTCTTATTCAGCTCCCTCGAGCCGGATGCCGCGGCAGCCTTCCTCCCTTCGAGTGCCACGGGATGTCATCATTCATCAAACATACACCCTCTGTACCTGAGGCGATGCGACAAAGAGCAACAAACACATGAATTATTTGTTAATCACAAAGGACAACAAAAAAGTGGGATACATGCTTAGGAGGAATTGGATCATTATCATGACGTCGACCCGCATGCAATGTGTTGAAAATGTAGCACGTACTGTTGTTTCGTGCATGTCCGTCCAGCCTTACTGAAGACTATGTTCTGTTTAGCAAGCAGAGAGTGTTCCTTGCACTTTGATTTGATGGAGTACTTCATCAATCACAGTCCAGAAAGATCATTAGAGGGTCTGCGAATGACAAGACCAGCAAAAACATCGACTGCAGATTGCTCTGATTCACCCCTCAAAACTTTAATTACACTTCAGACAGGCATTTATCAAAGACCTGCAATGACAAGCGACTCAATCAATTGTGGCTATGTGTCAGTGTCTTGAAATGACTTATGTTAAAGTTCAGTGTCTCTGACCCGAAGCAATGTGTGCTGAATAGTTACTCTGGAAAGTTTCTCTTAGCCCAGTTTGAGACATCGGCTACATATCCACTAATAAGTCAGTGTCTTCCAGCAAGCACAGCTCGTTTCGACCAAAGAAATGGATGCCACAAACGGGGATTTATTCTCTCTGTGCTCTCATTTTCTGAGCAACTGTGGCACTTTTGTGAATTCCTAACATAAATGCTGAGCTGTTCAATTATAATATTCACAGGGAAATAAAAAGGTGATGGGAGGAATTGTGTTTTTATTGTGTGATCGGGAAGACATGCAGATATCAGTCAGGGTCATTGCATGCAGTATTTTGTGAGACGTATTTTGCCTCTTTGTACAAAAAGGGACTTTGGAAAGATTACAGTACTTCTACTACAGTTTAGCTGGTTGAACTTCAGCCCCGAGTTATTCTTGTGTGCAAGTGCCCCCTGGTGAGCAAAAAGGAGAATTCCGCGTGCAAGACTTTTTTTGGTCTCCTCCCATCAAATAGAACAGAGTACACATGTCCATCCATCCGTTTTCCTGTAAAACACGATTGTTTGCCTGCGTCAACGTGGTGATCAGTGTATGTGTGTGTGTGTGTGTGTGTGTGTGTGTGTGTGTGTGTGTGTGTGTGTGTGTGTGTGTGTGTGTGTGTGTTTGGGGTCTAGAAGCATTTGCGGGCAAGACCTCCAAATGAGTTCCTGTGTCTGTTGTACCCGAGCCTCATGCAATGTCGTCTTTTCATGGCAAACTTGCCATTAAAAAAACATTTAAAAAACCAACTAAACTAAATCCAAACATATCTATATAAGTCAGCGAGCTCAAGATTAAAGAAACAAAATAAAATAACAAAATCAGAAAAACAGCGTATCATATGGTCTGGTCTCGTGTTAATTTTATCAGCCATTTTAAAATTTTGTCATAGTTTTAGTCCGCTTGCAACCGTGCTTGTTAGTTTTAATCACATTTAGTCAACCTCATTCCACTTTTATTGAGTTGAGTTTTAATTGATTGTACAGGAAGTCCAGCATTTTTGTCTTTGTTTTAGTCCCAGAAAGCATCATTTTATAAGCCTGGTTTGAGTCAGCAAGAACTGTCAACATTTTAGTCTAGTTTCAGTCAGGACAATCATTTTACCCTTTCACCATACTTATGTATAAAAATGAAGGCTAAATTCGTTTTGAAGTATGTGTGATGTAATATTTTATTTTATGGAAATGAATTGTTTGAGTACATTTTAGTTTTTAGTTTGAATTCGTGTCTAGCTGCCCAGGAGATAAGCAGGAACTGCAGTTCGTTTGAAGCTTCTCGATTAGCTCATTCTTGGACTTGCATAATGATTTTTTTTCCTCCACTTCAATGGAACAAAAATGTGTCCATATATCACACCTTCTCTTTCTCCTGGGCCCCATGCAAAGCATGGCCATGAATGCTTAACTTCTCCGCAGCGATTATTTGACGTGACCAGCAACTCGCCACTTTGAGTTATTTTGCCGTGAATGGAGCAAAACCTCACCACCTAGCGTTATTTTCTGGTGAATCACGTGAGAACTTGATCGAGAGAGAGGTAAATGATGCCAAACAATCATATCATTTTGTAATACATTTTCAGTCTTTATTTAATGAACTTTCATCTCGTCTTGATGAGTCCACGAAACTGCATCCCGATGAAGCCCGGTTATCGTTTATTAATGGAAGTTTTAATCTGGTCTTGTCTAGTGTTGACTCAGTGAAAAATATGCTCTGTCAAAAATATTTTCGTTTAAATTTCGTTAACGAAATGAACACTAATCTCGTCATATCATGGCAAAGTACTGTAAATGCGCATCACATGGCAATGCTCTGTGAGCTGACTCATGCTTTCAAACTTGGCTTAACATTTTGCACCTTCACGTTAATGTGTGATCACTTTCAATTTACCATACAATGGCTGAAGTGGCATACCAGTGTGTGTTTGTATGTGAGAAATGGACCAGTGAATATCATCAAACATTAAAGGGGAAGTCAACCCCAAACAAACAAACAAACAAACAAACAAACAAACAAACAAACATTGAAGACAATTAGAGTGTTCAATCAACCTACTACGCATCTTTTTGATAACCAAAGTACCTGAAGAAAAGCCACGCAGGCACGGAGAAAACAAGCAGGCTCCACACAGGAAGGATGCAATGTAACATTACAAGTAAAAATACATCAATAATTCCAGAGGGAAAAGTAAGTCAAATTAGATGGATTGTTTTTCAAGGCACTGTATTTGTGTGAATAAGGACAAGTTTGGGGACTTTTGGGACTATTGTACCTGCCACAACATGGTTAGTATAGAATTGTCCAAAAGCTCTCGGTAAAGTGAACAATGAGATTCAGGATGATGCACAGTATGTTGTTTAACACATGTAAAGACCATCCAGCATCGTTAAGTCCCTAAATGTCAATTTCAGCGCACACAAAGTTTTACCATCGTGAGCAGGAACGAGGAATTTTAAACTGAAATAGACTTCTTTGAGATAGGGTAATGCTAAAACTTTTTTTTTTCAGAAATACAAATAAATAACTACCTGTACAGTTTCATCTTAATCAATAAGTAATATATATGTATATATATATATTTTTTTTCTTTACAGTAAATTTGAAAATGGATAAAAATCCTAATGATATTTTTAGGACTAAAAATATCGTTGCGGTTAAATGCCTTCTACATACTATTGTGTTAACCATTGGTCTGATATATCTGTTCAGCACGATATACGCTCTACTTGCGCCCACATGGTTAACATCAATACACATTTTCTTGGGAGACAGTTATGACACCAAGTCCTGCAGACAGCAAAGAGGCTACATTTTTATCAGCTCCCAGTAGAGTCGCAATTCCGGCTGTTGTTCAGAACTGAATCAATGAAAGGAAACATGACCTGTGCTGTGTCGAGCATGAAATGATGTTTCAGGGAAAGTGGCCTTTGAAATTCTCTACTAGAAAATGACGTGTCGAATACAAGGATACAATAACACATATAAGGTTAGAAAATGTTTTACAGGCATTTTACGCATTTCTAACACCGGAATGATGATGAGCAGAGCAGCAGTGAAATGCAAGGAAAGCTCTTGGGATCTGAGCATGCTGACTCAAATTAACTGATTCGGTTGTGGGCACAGGCTACCTTCAGTGTCCAAAACCATTAGTGATTCCTGTACGACAAAAGCTGCGCTCCGGGGTGACCATTTCCTTGCATTAACATCGACTTTCCACCGCAGCATCATCTCTGCTAAAACAGAAGGCTTTGTTAAAGAAGGAATGTATAGAGAACGGAAAACATAGCACACTGGCATGCCAGAAACATTTAAAAGAGCAATTTATTATCAAGAACAAGGATATCAAACAAGACAGAGAAGGAAAGGGGGGCGGGGGGGTTCATCAAGTTCATTTTATCAGCGATGTGCTCGCGGCAAAGAGAACATTTTCAAACTTGAAGAATCATCCATTTTGCCTTATTGTGTAAAAGAAGTTAATAACAAGTCAGCGGGAACTAGAGAAGACAAGTCTAGAAACCGAGAGGCTTTGAATGTGAGTTCTGTAAAGTGCTTCGGGCCTCATTTTGACCTTCTCGCAGACTGGCTCCTATGAGTTCGATTTATGTAGCGGGTGGTTTATTATTGCCAGTTGAAGGTGCGCTTTACCAGCCTAAAGAAGGTTCTGTTGTGCTCCTGCAGGTAAGAACGGAGTTGTTGGAGCACAGTGCTGTTGACCACAGGGTGCGGGCGTCCCTTCGACTCGTGCAAACATCGCTCTCGACCATCACTTCGAATGCAGTAAAATCCCTTGGTCTGATTGAAATAGAAATTGGAGGCGACTATCCTGGGAGGCAAGTTGAGGAACCGCTCGACTTTTTGGAGTTCTGGCAAGGGGTCATGAATAAGCAAATCCCCATCTACAATATGAATCTGTTCCAGAGGGAAATGACGCAGCCAGTTGCGCATGTGAATGTCATACAGGCTCCTCTGAATGGCCTTGTAGCCCGTATTAAGGGCACCGTTTCGTACAAGAAGGTTCTCGATAGCTTGAACTGGTTTGTGGTTCTCCAGACGGTTGAAATACACTTGAGTGTAGTCTGAGACGACTCGCTCAGCTGGGTCACGCAAAATCAGGAGCAGTTTTATGGATGAGTTCATTGCGCAGATGCGTTCGGGGGCAAGAGTCGACGTGAAGTATCCTGGGGTCTTCTCGACTGTTATCTGGTGCGGGTACGAGTAAGGCATCAGCTCACGGTACCACTCTAAGCCTTTGGCATAGTTCTCATCCCAGTCAAAGAAATGTACCTCAGTTGCAGCAGCAGCAACCTCGGGGTGGATGTCGAGCATTTCCAACAGGGCTCTTGTACCTCCTTTGCGCACCCCAATTATAATGCTATGTGGGGGTCTTTTGCTAGTTCCTGGTGGAGGAGACAGGGTCACATCTTCATCGTTAAGATTTATTCCGTTTAAGCTAATGCTTGCCTGAGGTGGGGCAGCAAACGTTTGGAGAATGAAAAGAAAGGCGGATGCCAGGAAGCACGCCATGGTGATTGACAGCAGAGTGGAGAATAATGATGGAGGGGGAGCCAAGAACAGGAACTTGTGATTTAGCTGTGGACCAAATCTGGCTTCCCGGGCTCAGTGGTAACAAGAGCAGTGAAAAATGCAGGTTTTACCGGCCATGGAATTTGAACAGCAGGGGAAGAAATGATAGGAAGTCCACAGCACATCTGTAGAGTAAAAAAGAAGAGAAAAGGGAAAAGCTTTTAGATTTGACGTACGCAGTGTGGGATGAATGTCTGCATTGCATGGAAATAGCACCTTCCTCATTCCCTTCAAAATGCAATCCAGCCCTAAATACAATCCATGTATCCTGTAAGTGTATCGTCTCAAAAGCATGATATCTATTCATCTTTGCTAGAACCTCCTTCATCATCCTTCATCCAGTCTTTTTTCTCTTCTCACTGTATCAAGCCGTTTTCTATTGATTCTGTAATAACTCTCACTGAAAAATATCCAACAATGCAGCTCGTTAGGGAAACATAACTGAAGGTATGCAAGAGTGGCTGAAGGCCAGAGGGTCTGCTGAGTGCTTTGTCTTCTTTTACCCGGCCAGAAATCAATGCTTCAATCAATACATTTGCTGCCCCCCCCCACCCCCCACACCTCCCCTAGATCGCCTTCATATCAATGGTGCTGAGATATATAAAGACATATTTAGTGCAAGAAATCCGATGAGTTTCAGCTTGCAGTTGACTTTGATTTCCTATACGGTAAGTGCCAGGAAAGATCAATAGTAGGGCATCAGAATCCAGCCAACACAATGAGTTTTTGATTTTTGGCATTAAATCGGATTAATTATACTGCTGAGAATCCATATAAACCATGGGAAAGCAAAAGAATGGAACATCATTTTACTTTTATTTTTTATGCTGTGAACTTACCTTTAAAAATTACAAACAACATAAGACAGTATCTAATGTTTTCGTGGTACATTGAAAATTTGTAAACATGATCTCTTTGCTTAGAAAAAAAACCCATGAACAATATGTATATAACTTCGAGTCCATTTCCAAAAAGAGGTACAGTATGTTTTCAGAAGGCATGTTGAGGAAAACAAGCCAGGCAGTTGTTCCTGACAGTGCTAGTCAAAACAAAAGGGGCAAGATTTGCAAACAAAGCAGCAAAGGTCCTGGTAAGGTCGTTTTCATAAACAAAGACAGTGGCTGCATGGGAACAGACTTTCAGAAACATCGGCATTTCTGATAGTCTTATGACGAACTGACTATTGGGGAAAGTATGCAAAAGTCATTTATGCTGCAGTTGAAGTTCAAACTAAACTGTATCATTAAAAAGATGAGATGTAAAAAAATAAATAAAAAATCAATGCATTTAAAAATGTGATTTCATTTTTTACCCTTCAAAAAAATATGCTGATGCATCCCCCAAAAAGATGATCGCTCCCAATATTGTTTTTCTCTTCTTGGCATACAATCCAAAATGGTAAAGTTATCATATTACCATGATTTGAAAAAAAATTGATGAAAAACAACACACACACACACACACACACACACACACACACACACATATAAAGCATTTTCTTTCCCATCATCAAAGTCTGAGCTTATTCTAAATATCAGTTATTACAAATTGTGTATCATCTATAAATATTACATGACATTATTATGGTATGGTATAGTATGATATAATATATATAAAATAGCAATTTTACTTCATTTTACAATTGAGTTCAAATGATTTTCCAAGGAAAGCTGTTTTACAAAAAGGAGAGCAGTGTCTCCTGCATTGGGTAGTAGGCGGGGACACCCTGAACTGGCTGGCAGCCAATCGCAGGGCACACATAGATGAACAACCATTCACGCTCATACTCACACCAAGGGACAATTTCGAGTGTTCCATTAACCTGCTACGCATGTTTTTGGAATGTGTGAGGAAACCGGACTACCCGGAGAAAACCCAGGCCAGAGCCGGAATACAGTACCAAAATACCATAACAAAGAAAACTTAAACCAATGCGACAGTTGGAGTGCGCTTTACACTAGACTTGCACTCGGCCAGAAAATAGGTCCCGTGATGTGATAATTAAAATATATTTTGCATTTGTGGCGGGGATATATACAAATTACTTTAAATTAGCTTTACCTGTGCATATATTTGGTCAAATTTACAAATGCATATTGTGATATATCCATTCATGCATTTTTAATAATCCTTTATGCTGTCCACGGTGTTGGGAGGCTGGAGTCTATCCCTTCTTGCTTTGGCAATGAGGTAAATTGCAGTACACCATTGACTAATGAGTCAATCACAGGACACAGACAGCTAGACAAGCAGGAATCCTCACCTACAGTATATGCGATCACTGAGTGGGAAATGTCCCAACTCCGCAGAATGAAGCACTGCACCGTCAGTGATTATTTTAAAAGCTAATCTTACAAAATAACATGAAAATCTGCGCAACATCTCTACTTGTGATTGCAAAATTACAATTCCTATAATCATAAAGAACACAATTTGTAATGAATTAATATTTTGGCCCGATCACACAATGTGACCAGTGGCCATTCTCTTACCTAATAGAATTTTCCAATTAAACAAAGGCAAAGCCTATACATCCCCTTGACACATGGCCTTAGAATAGGTCTGGCTCTAAGAGAGGTACTCACAGGAGCCATCCCGCCCTCCAGAACCAGCGGGAGTACAGTGAGGCCTTTATATGCTGTGACAGGCGCTCCTGCCTGTCAGCCATTCCACGGCCAAGAGCCGCCAAGTCCAATGCTAACAGCTCAGCAGCTTCACAAGCTTCCTGTCTCATCCAATCCCACTCCTCTCACAGTACACCACCACCTGGAAGGAGTCATTGTTTTACATTACACACTACCCCTCATTGATTTAATCACTTTACCAAGTCTATTTCTACTGGACACATGTGGGCCAGTGTGAGGACACCGGACACATACAGTATACCCTTGAATGACATAGAGCACACTGTGTATATGGGGTATTGATTCACAACCTGTGAGATTTTTCGAGTAAAAATATTTTTTGTGCCTTGCCTCAAGAAACATGTAGAAACACGGGTCTAAATCGCAGCAAAATATGCACTGGGTCAAGTGATGACTGTGGTCAGTTATCCATTAGTGGCTTGTTACGTAAATGTCCTTCAGACACACTACATGGGTGTCATTTTTACCCCCGATGTGTGAGGAGCATGAGTAGTCGGAACATACAAGCAAGGTGAAATTTAGCCATGGCCGAATTGGAAAGTTACTCGGAACATTCAGTACGCAGTTGTTTGCAAGGTTATTGTGAGAGGCAATGATGTTTTTTGGCCACCACATAGTTAGCAGGCTACTTAGTTCATGAAGGATGACCAACAGTCGGGTGGCCCTATTACAGTAGGTTCCGTGAGGTACGCAACTGATGCTTTGGTACAGTGGTGACTTGCAAAATGAGTTGAATTCATCACATGACCACATGGTCATAATCTAATCGGGTAGCCAGACAAAAGTAAAAAATATAGATATTTCTGCTTGGTTATAGAACAGTTATAAATACAGAAGACGTTTCTACTAATTAATGAACTTTTCATTTATAGATAATGAACATTATTTTTACTTAAAATGAAGCTGAGCTTAGCCGCAGACTAGTTTCTTAAAGATTTTAGACAAATCCCTCATGATTTTGGTCTATGAGACAGAGTGATGTCAGAACGACAGCAGTGATTTTGTCGTCTAAAACAACAAGCTTGAATCCGTTGGTTTGTTAAAAAGTGATCACAAGGAATGGAAATTATGTCAGGCTGTCAGCGTCAAAAGTGAGCAGAGTCACTTCCGTCTATTACACTGCCTTTGAAAAATAATCTGACTGTTCTTGCCAGCCTATATGGGGGAGAAAAAGTGACCATAAATCCTAAACCTAAACAGCAAACTCTAAATTCTAAAGTAAAATAACTACAAGTGGATTACATCAAGAATAACATGATTTGAAGGCTTCTGAACATGTTAAGTTACCATCGATCAAAATGTACCACTACTGTAAAATTGTCTTTATGTGAGTTGCGAAAAGATGTCAAATAGTTTCAGCGAGTTCAATCGCCACCAAAAATAAAAAAGTGGGTGTCACTTCATCACCGATGAGGTCCAACTTTACAATGGCTACCTGAGAAAGTCTTGAGGTACTATGGTGATGTTGGTTGAGAAAACCAAAGGGCCAAAATGGAGCGCTAGTCGACAGAAATGAACATTCCAGACTTCAAATATCCCCTGGGGACTCATTGTTAAGAAGCAGTTTGCAGTTTTTATGCTCAACATATCAAGACTAAACCACCAGAGAACTGCAGATATGCTGCAATTGTCAGCTTTTAAATTCTTTGTTTGCCACTGCCTTTTATTAAATCACCTCTGAGTCTGCACTGTAACTTAACTGCCGAGTGTGTTCTTGTCTTTTTCTCGCTTTTATTGCTGTACATCTTTTTTAATGCATTTTTTAATATAGCCGTTAGATTTTTTTGTTGTTTTCCATCGTCATGCTTTTGCTTTAATGTAAAGCTTATATTTGGTCCAAATACTTATTATGTGTATATTTCATTATTGTGCTATACAAAGAAATGTGTCTTGCCAACAGAGACTTGTGTCAGCATTGACAAATTATCAAACACACACACACACACACACACACACACACACACACACACACACACACACACACACATATATATAATACAATATATAATATAATACAATACAATACATCCTAATATATATATATATATATAGGGGGGTGCTGGAGCCTATCCCAGCCATCTTCGGGCAGTAGGCAGGGGACACCCCGAACCGGTTGCCAGCCAATCGCAGGGCACACAGAGACGG